ATGACAATGAACAGGGCACACAATATTGAGGAAGTGAAGCTTATAATGACCAATGTGCATGTGTCATTTGTATCTGCCATGATGCACAAGGAGGGAAGACAGACCAGACTACTGGGACAAGCAAGGAAGGCAGTTCAGGGCTGACACTGTGATTTTGGTTTTGTCACTAAACGCACCTTTCCTGTGCCTCACTCCAGCCATAGGTAAAACTACATGTGGTATCTTAGACTTTATTTTCTTTTTAGCAGTACTGATGATTGAACCCTGGGCCTTCTCACTGAGCTACATTCTCCAGCTCTTGTCATGTTTTACTTTGAGACAGGGTCCTATTAAGGTGTCTAGGTTGGGTTCAAACTTGTGATCCTATCTCAGCCTGCCAGAAAGCTGGCTGGGATCACAAGAATGGGTTTTTAAACCTAAACGAGCAATATGACTCATGCTTTCTGAAGACTGATATTTTTGAGTTAAATCTCATTCCACTGTCTATTAGTTAGAGTGCCCCAAAATGGAACATGGATATTCACCTTTATATGCACAGGTCCTGCTTTCTACACTGACTTTTAGGCAACTCCTCCCTGTGCCTGTTCACGCCACTGGTACTGCGTGTGCTCTTTCAGGAAGGTGACTCTGTGCTGACCATCTCCAGATATTGCAAATTCAGCGGTGACAGTTTTATTATTTTATAGCATGGATTTTTTTTAGCATTTAATTAGCAGAAAGCATTTTTATTCTTTTGTTTGTTTAACCTCCTGAATGCTAGCCAAGCACTCTAGTGCTATTGTAACGTCAGCCGTGTTTTGGTTTTATTTTGCTACGTTGCTCAGGCTAGTTTTGAACTTGCGGTCCTCCTGTTTCCCTCTTCCCCACAGCTAGGAACAAAGATGTGTGACACATCACCCAGTCAACACTGGGTACAGAAGAAATGGGTATTATTCTATAAAAACTGAAGCCATCCAATGGCCAGTCTTAAAATTTGGTATCAGAATAGTATCTAAAATAAGAGAAATGAAAAAAAAACCTCCAAATTAAACATGTCTATGTTATCTGTACTGTAAGTACACATTCTATGCAAATAGTAACTTGGAAAACTCAAAAGATAACAGATGAAGCTTAGTAGCTACCTTTGTGAAAACCCTTCTAACCTGCAGATAAGCAATCTGATCTAGATAATGTTCATGATTCCTTCCAGCTATAAAATACTGTGATCATTAGCTCCTTAAACTGCAACTCTACCAGGCAACAAAGGCTCACCTTATCTGTGCTTGGCTCAGAGACATACTGGACCAGCCTGCAAAGCAGGTCTCCTGAGGTCCAAATGCTCTGGCTGTGCATGACAGCACCAGCCAATTCTTAGTGGGCAGCCATAAAACACAATCAGGCTTGAGTGCTACTGGATACGGTATGCCAATATTTGGGGGGAGTGGGAGAGGAGATTTTTGCATTTACATTCACAGGGATATGAGTCTGTAGGCTTCTTGTGATATCAGTCTCATTTTGACTAATATTCTTTGGATGTGTTAGCACATGGGGATTTTAACGCAGAAAGCAAAGCATGCGGGAGCAAGTGCAACTGAAGAGGTGGCAGGTGCTCAGAAAACCTGGCAGCCTCACTGTACGACTTGTTTCCTGCACTCAGGAGCTCGGCGCTCTCAACAGGCTCCTGCAGCACAGCCTGTACCTACACAGAAACAGTGCAGACGCTCGGCTGAACCTGCAAATGATGTCCAGCACCCTTCCGTCCAGCTTCTAAGCTGATGAAGATGCAAGGCATTCTTTCCACCTGCTTTGTCTTCACCATACTGAGGCCTTGTTAACATGGGTTAACAGAGGAAGCGTCAGAGGGACTGAGACAAGGGTATGACCCAGCTGAAACTCAATGATGTGGCTGTGCTGAGGCCAAGACTCCTCTAGCTAGTTATTATCACAAGCCTGAGCCTCCCTTGCATTCATCCTGTAACCTACATGCTTATATCAATAAGATGATTCCAACCACAAGTGAGCAACTCTCGGACATGCATAACAACTGTCCTAAATAACTACAAGCTAAAAAATGAATAAGGAAATCTTAAAGAATCCCATATAAGAAACTTCTGCTACTAGAACAAGTTACAAAGCATAAGAGAAAAACCACCAACATACTCAACTTCCCCAAGAATGGGACACTTGTGTTATTGGGTTAACGTCACTTCCAGTGGGCCCATGAGGTACCACCCTCACATGAAATCAAACTAAGTCTTTCTAGTAATAAGCTCTGTAGCATGCAACACAATGATGCTGGCTTAGGAACTCATCCAGTAGAACATTCACCTCCCACCCTAGCATTCACATGTGCCATTCAATGCACATTTTTCATACGATGAAAGACAAAATAAAATAATTATTCAAGAAAGTTGCATCCTAACATGAGTTACTAGAGGCCTGCGACAGCATGATAAATTCTTAGTGATATAATCTTATATCACTAAGAACAGATCCCAACATACATCTGTGCATCTCTTTATAGATAAACACACTCCAACACAAACTATAAGACTACGCAGAAAAACAAACAGGAAGGCTGGCCAAATAGCTCAGTGGAGGGGGTTGGGGGTTTGATCCCTGGGCCTGCCATGTCAGCCCCAGCCCTACCCCCAGAGCATGCTGAGACTACAAATGAGACTGCGGATAGTGGCTCACTCCTGTAATCTCAGCTCTTGGGAAGCTGTAAACAGGCAGATCATTATGAGTCTGATCTAGAAGTGAGATCCTGAACACCCTGTAGACCCTTTCCTAAATGCAAAAAAAAAAAAAAAAAGAACAGGAATATAGGTGTATACACTGACAGAAAGAAAGGAATAATTTCCCAATTTTAACCTTTCCATAACATTTTAAATTGAAAAACAAAAGCACCACAGAACTCATTATAACTGGGATGTTTTCTTCATCATACTCTGCCAATGTCTGCCCTAATTATCTGACTGAACCTAGATCTTTGTTTCTATTATCCTATAATTTACTGTCTAGAAAGAAGTACGGTTTACAGTGGAAGGCTAGGAGCCTGGGCCTGAGATGTACATCTGCAAGGATTTTCCTATGGGGCGTCTTAGCCTGTTTGGGCTGTTATAGCAATATAAAGACCTGGGAGGGCTGGGGAGATAGCTCAGTAGAATAAGTGCTTCCCTGGCAAGCGCAAGGGCCTGAGTTCAATCCCTGGTTCCGCAAAAAAAAAAAAAAAAAAAAAAAGACCTGGGAGTTTATGACACAGGAATTTGTATCTTACCATCCATGGCCCAGGCACTAGTCGGGGCAATTCCTCCTTGCTGGCACCTTTTCACTACGGCATCATACAGTGGAGGATATACTGGCTCCCTGTGGTCTTCTTCAACAGTGCACTCACTTTATTCACAAGGACAGACACCTTGGGACTGAATCATCTCCCAAGTTCACCATCCAGCATTCTCGCCTTTCTGCTTGGGTTTTCACATGCATTTAGAGCACAGTAGGGGTTATCTGTTTACCTGTCTGACAATATCTTATTATGTAATCTTTAAACCATATATATCAAGCAGCTATATAACTTATAATACTAAAGAGAAAAGTCACACTAGATTTCAGTTACAAAATGAATTAATTTTAACTTGCTGCTTTTGTGTTCTGATTAACACTATCCATGCAGGATCACCAATTATAAAAAAGGTACCACATGTGGGGATGTTTATAGCGAAGGAGACAGTGGATATATAGAGATGAGGGTATATGTGAACTGGTACTTTCTGCTCAATTTTACTGTAACTGTAAAGCTGCATTTTAAAGAAGTCTATTTTTTCTATAAAAGTACTAAATGTTAGACTTGAAATTCATTTTTCCATCAACAAAAGATGACAATTTGTATAGACTTTTGAATTTTTGTATGGACAATTGCCACGCAAGCACTATGACCACCCTGCAATGCATGTGTATAGTTACAGTGGATCACATAGAAAGTTGTTCATGCACTATTCTCTATACTCAGGCTTTAGATCGTGCCGCCACCTGCTGGGAGCCACAAGCTATTACAACTCTTTGCATAGAGGAAGAAAAGGCAATACATCAGAAGCAAGCTTCATTGCCAGCTGATGAAGTTGCTCATTTTGATAGTTAAAGTAGTAGGAGAAAATATCCAAGCACAGGATTTCAAAGCCATTTTAAATTATTAATAAAATATTATATGATCACTTTTTTATGAAAAAAGTGTATTTATATACAGTATCTATTCTTTCTTTCTTTCTTTCTTTTTTTTTTTTTTTGCGGAACCAGGGATTAAACTTAGGCCCTTGAGCTTGCCAGGGAAGTGCTTATTCTACTGAACCATCTCCCCGACCCCTCTATATTTTCATGTTACCTGTGGTCCTGACAAACCTCTTAACTGGCTCACATAGATGCACTTGCCCTGAGCACAATGATTAGCTCACAGGGATGAAATGGCTGAATTTCTCAAGGCTGACTCCTTGCCAACTGTCAACTTTAGGACTGAGCTTTTGTATTATTCCTCCTCCTCTTATTATTTTTTTAATTTACTGGATACAGGGTCTCACTACACAGTTCAGACTCATAAGTGTTCCTCTTGTTTCAGCCTCACCACCACTGGGATTACAGGTGTGTGCCATCATGCCCGGTTTGGGGGCTGACACAGCATGCGGTACCAGAAATTGAACTTGGATCTTGCACTTGCCAGGCAGGTGCTTAGACCGCTGAGCTATCTCCCAAGAGCATATTCCTTGTTTTTTTTTTTTTTTAAATGTATTTAGTACAGGGTCTATAGGGTCTCACTACACAGCTCAGACTCATAGTGATCCTCTTGCTTTCAGCCTCCCAAGCAATGGAATTATAGGTGTGCATCACCATGGCATGCCAGGGATTGAACCCTGGTTGCTGCACCTGCTTAAGCAGGCGCTTTAGTCTGCTGAGCCATCTGGCCAGCCCTGTCCCTTCATTTTTAAGGTCAATCTAAACACTGAGAGATTCCCATGCAGCTAACTGACCTGCAATGGTATGTGCATACAGCCGGCTGCCAAAAGTGAAGACGTGAAGTTCATACAGTTTGGCAATCTTCTCCAAGAAGTCCTTGCAGTGTGGTCGCAGGCGGGTATGAAGCATTGGCTCACCCCGGCCCAGCTGGAAATGAAAGATGCCCTGCAAAGAACAGGCAATGACAGTGAGAAGAGAAGGCCCTCAGGAGCACTGTCAAGGCAGCACCTGACAGTGTGAGGCCCAAAGAGATGCACATGGGGACAGAGAATCCTCATAAGTAGCCTATGGTACCTGACACTGAGCCAAAAGCTTTCCACACATACTCTGAGACACCTGAATGCTCCAGAAGACTGACAGTGTTAATTATCCATGTAATGATGACAATCACAACAGCTACCTATGATGACCACCCCATAGTTACAGTAACTAGGCAAGTCTACTACCTCCTAGAGCTACATATAGTAACTACACCTGATAAATGAAATAACTACCCACTACATTTACAACATTTAAAACCTGAGAGTTATGACAACTACCTACAGCAAATATCTAAGCTAACTACTCATGGTAATAACTAACCATAATAAACAGCAATGTTAAATACCCACAGTAATGGTAAGACCTACAATAACTACTTGTAGCTACCTTTCCTAATTATAATAGCTATTCATGACAACTATCCACTACAACTGCCTGCAACTATCCCTTAAAACTATTAACTACCTGTCAAAGAGCATAGTAGATAGCTTGAAATAGATTCCTTCAGACTATACACAGAAGTAAAGTGGAGCACACCTTGGAAACTACTAGTATTAGTGGAAGACTGATCATGCCCAAACCATTCCATGCAGACAGAACATGGTCTTGTGAACCCAATTCCCTTCCCTGGACTAGTTCAAACTGCTTATAAGAGTAACTTAAAAAGCCAAAGTTCAAAAGTGACAACATAAAAAATACCTATGGCAACATATGCTCGTATACACATATGGACAGTGTGTGTGCCACTCAGAACATTTAGTAGAGACAAGTTGCTATGAATGAAATACCTGAAAATATTTAGTAACTACCTGCACAAAATATAGCTTATTTCTGGATAAATCTCATGATATACAAGACAACTAAAAATACAAGTTTCATTGTGGGGATGTAATTCTAGCCATAATCAAGCTCAACCTCAAGAAAAGAACACTAAAAATTAAAGATCACCTGGTTGGGCCAAGGAGATAGCTCAGCAGAATAAGCACCTGCCTGGCAAGAAGCGTAAGTTTCTAAGTTCAAGCATCTATACAAAAAAAAAAAAAAAAAAAGACCACCTGGTTTATTTACTAAGCCATTAACTTATTTTTACCAAACCTGTATTACTATTAGTGGTAAAGGACCCTGGCTCTATGATGGAACCTCCCCTAGGCTACGTGGTCCACCCTCTAGGATCTCCCTGACCTACACCTGGCCATAGCAAAGTTCAGTCCTCTTCTGTCAAAGAAAACTTGCAAGACTAAAATAAGAGCCTCTACATTATCTCTTCAACAGCTAACATTTTTAAAATAAGGTAACTTAGCACTGACAAGGCCTTCCTTGTTAGTGATGACATACATAATATATGACTACAGGTGAGCTGTCTGTAGCAAACATCAAATTCCTTTTGCTCCTCAAGTTCAACTTCTTGGCTCTTATCCCTAAGAAGCAACTGGACTATTACAGTTTTATATGCACTCAAGCAGTGGTCCTTCTTTGGCTTCTTCTCTCTTCATCACACTATCCTGGAGAACTGCTACCACACTCCCATGTTCATCTCTAGCCTAGGTCTCTTGAGCAGAGACCCAAGTATCCTGACCAAGATACCCAAAGATCCAAGGCACCTCAAATAACGCATCTTCCCAAGACTGCTCCTCTAATGACACTCTACTATCTTCACAGATCTCCAAGTCTCTGCTCTCCAGCTGACACCAGAAAATGGGGACTTGCACACAAAACCTCTCCATTTTACTATAATATCCCTGGCAAATGCTAACAGTGACAGCACATTTATGCTGTCACCTGAATGGCTCAGATATAGTAGCTTGCTGTTCTGAGGTCATATGCATGACTGACAAGTCTGTTCCCCAAATTTGGCCATACTTATGAGAACCAATTTAAAAAACGATAGTACACTTCTGAATTGAATAATGAAATGTGGGTCATCTAGCAAAGTATCCTGGGTATATTGGGGAAAACTTACTTTGTTTGACATTTGTGGACAGTGCTGCTCTGTTGTGTGGATTAGGGTCTGGTCCAAATCAACCATGAGGACTAGTTTTCTGTTTCGATGTAGTCGTTGCTGATCTTCCCTTGCTAGTTTTTCAGCTTGCTGGAGTTAAAAAAAATAAAAATAAAAATAAAAATGACAAAGTACATACATTTGGATCTAAAATAAAATCCAATTTCACCAAGAGAACAGACACTGCCCTTTTCCTAACTAAGCCCTCACATCTGCAGGATCCCACTATGACTGAAATACATTGAGGTCCTCAGCTGGCTACAAGTGGGCCTCTCTCTCTGCTGACCAAGGCTGCACACTGACCACAGTCAGTTCTGTCTGCTCCATATCTCTGCAGTGACGAAAATTTTACAATTTCGTTAAATGTGTAAACCAGGGAAAAAAGCGGGGGAGGGAGAAGGAAACAATTTTTTTCTATAAAAATTCAACCAGAGGTCTGGAACACTTGAATAAACCTGAGCTTCAAAATTAATAAAGAAGACAAGCTCAGCTGAGAGGACAAGCATAAACTAATCACTGGGATGGCAGAGGCCAACAAAAATCCTGGTCTTGGTATCCTTGGGCTCATCCCTGTCACCTCACCTTGACAAGCTCAGATGAGCTTCAAACAATACAAAAGGGTTATATACACTTAAGGTCCAAGGCAGGGCTCTCGCCTCAGAAAAACTCTGGTCTGACCTCCCACAGAGGGCCTGACACAACTCATTAAGTAAAACACACCAGGATGAACAACATGTTTCTCAATTTTATTGGCATTTATTTATTTACAGACAAATTACTAGACTGAATTAGTAATTCAAAAGTTCACACAGGAGAACTTTTGCCATATTCCTGAAAGGGAGTATACAGAAAGGTTAACAACTCTGCTTTGATAGGAGAATTGGAGTCTACTCATCTCTTTTTAACATAAATTTCCTGGCCTTGATTTCACACATATGTATTTATATTTTTTTTACAGTAATTCAGAAAAACCACAAGTATATATCTGGGATTCTGCCTTTCCTACAAAAAGACTAGCTAGTATACATCATTTACAAGCACGAATCTTATAAAACACTGAAAAATGTTTTCCCTGCTTATAAAAACACAACTCTGAAGGTTAGAGTTTTTACAGCACCTGGTCCTTAGGTGATGGGCACACCCACGCTTGCCACAGTATACAAACACTAACCTATGGGAATGTGAGCTTGTCAGGGTAACTCCTGAAATACCAAACAATAATAAAAAACCCAAAACCACTAGGTGCTTGAAATAGCACCCAAACTCTATTTTCTAGATGGTGCCCCACCTCCCAACTCTTCACACAGAACCTGCTGCTCCATGGTTCATGGCCACCGGCACTGCAGATGTCACCTGGGATCCCATGTGCACTTGCTCTCCACAGCAGCCTGAGCCATGGCTTCCACCAGCACCAATTCCACACTGCTGGGCAGCCCAAGAGTGCCATCACCTTCACCCCTCACTGGTCCTTGCTGTCTCTGCTCTCCATGCCCACCTGTCTTGCACATACCCGTAGCCTCCACAGCATGCTGTGTCCAGGTGGCTACCACATTCCCTCCAGCTAGAATCTGGCTCACGGAAACTCAGGCTGAGCCAGTGAGTATGTCACAGCACCAAGAAGGCTCCCTCCACACAAGTAGGGCAGCTGCACAGCCTCTAGAGGTGCTCATGTGGGCAGAGAAGGAAAAGGAAAAACAACCATGCAGCCCTCCACTTCTCAGGAGGGCAACACCTTGCAGCCACTGGATGCAGGGATCTTTAGAAACTATTATTAAAGATGGAGGTCCTGATTCCCTATACAGCCCAGGACCTCCGTGCCTACTTACCTCAGAGCTCACCATTAACTCTGGCACACTGTGTACCATGGATACAGTCGCTGTGGACACAGGCATATGCTGCTTCCCATTCTTACTCTGTAGCCTTTAAATGTAAGAAGATAAGTTGAAAAATTAGCTGCACTGGAAGAACTGTACACAGAAGGCACATGTAACCACAAGTGACAGAATTTAAACCTGCACTATAGCTGAAACATACTTGTATCTCTTCATAGAACCATTCCTTGGTTAGCTAGGGGAATATCCTCCAGTCTGAAGATAGAATATGAAAAACTGAGCTCATGGCCATTCTCACAGTCAAGGTGCACAGAAGTCACAGCCACAGCCAGGGTCACACTTCCAGTCACACTCATACAAGTAAAATTCTCCAAGGAAATAAACTGCAATGTCACATGGAAACATAAAGGCTATGAAAACACATGTATGCACGTGTACATATGTACACACACGCGCGCGTGCGCACACACACACCCAGTTCAGAGACAGTCACCCACAGTGCTAGGCTGACAGAGCAGGGAAACTGCTTGGCGTTAGTGGTCAGGCTGGCCTAGAGTATGGGAAAGGAAGACTGAGTAGAAAGGCACACCACCTCCTGAAGAGGTACTCCAGGGAGCCTCTGTGGCTTCTCCCTTGAGGAGAAGAACAAAACTCAATTACCCTCTGGTTTTTTCCTGTCATGCCTAAAAAAAACTCACTCAGCAGAAGGTGTGATATCACAAGTAGGAAAATAAAGACAGAAAGGACTGTTCCTGGTACCAGTCTGACTCAAGTGCAGGCATGGCAGCGTCTGCCCTCCAAGGCAGAGGTTACAAGGCTTGCACAAAGCCCCCACTCTGCTTCCCACATCCCACCCACATTACACTCTGAGAGTCCTGTGTCTTGCTCCCCAGAGACACTCACTGGGTTAAGTCCTGACCACACTCAGCACAAAGGCCCTTCATGACAACTGGGTGGCTACATCCTTCCAGTCTCACCAAAAGCGTTCTGCAAAATACAAGGAAAAACAAGTACAAATCAGGAAGGGGCAAGAATTTACAGTCTCTTGGGAACATCTCACAGTTTGAACAAGGGCAGGAGAGTGACAATAAAACCCAGAGTTCTTGCACCAGGTCCAACGTTTGCACAGCTCTGTTCCCTCTGCCTGCCTGACTATAAAATGAAAGAACTTCTTACCTGTGAGTTTCTGTCATGCAAGACCAAATAAAATCTTTCTGATGCACAGAAGACCTGAAAAAATCTAAGGCTGCCTAAAATACAACAAATATATATATATTTCTTTTACACTTTGGTTTATAAAACTCTTTAATACAGTAGGGAACAAATTGATATAATCCCAAAAATAATAAATTGCTGTCTCCTCCCATAGGTGATCCCTAGTACAGACAGACTCACACTCATCTAATTTTTCTGATATTTTCTTTTTTTAAATTAGATTATATTTTAAAAATAGGATAAAGAATTCTATGCTTCTCATGTTTGCACATAAGTCCAAAAATCTCACCATATACAACCTTGAAGCAGGACAGTCCCACAATATTCCTTTTCCTGTCTCTTGCTTTCATTTGATATTTTCTTTTTTTATAGTTATTCAGCATTCTAATTTTAATGACATTGAAATTTTTCTTAGTGTATTTTTTGTGTTAATATTATTTATTAACTTTGCATATTTTTAGAGAATAAAATAGTAACCGCAGACACAAGAAAGTGCTGGCTGTACAGGCATGGAAAGTAGGAACCTGTGTGTCCACCCTGACCACCTCACACAGGGTGGACTCCCTGGCAGTCTTCAGCAAACACGTGCAGTTTATATGTGTGGTGAGGTGACTCGTAGTACACAATGCCTGCTATGTTTGCAGTACATAAGGTTTACATTTTTTGTGTAGTACATGAACATAACACATCTTTCTTTCTTCATCACTTTCCTCCTCCTCTCCATCATGAGTTCCTCTTGCTTCATCGCTTGATCCCCTTCCCACTTGAGAAAAATCTCCTTCCTTCCTAGTATCTGATTTTTATTTTGCTAAAGTTTGGATTTCTCATGTAAGAGAAATCATGTGATATTTTAGCTTGTGTGCTTGAGTTATTCTACTGAACATCACTGCCACAAGATGGATCCATTTTCCTATACGTGATTCGGGTTTCTCTTCCTCTATGGCAAGTAATACTACACTGTGTGTAAACACATTTTCTTTAACCATTCATCTGCTGATGGACATACAGGCTGCTTCCAAGATTTAGCTATTATGAAGTGTGTGACTATAAACATGAGTATGCAGGCATCACTGTGATACTGTCAACTCTTTTGGTAATATATCTAGAACAGGACTAGCTGGGTCAAATGGAATTTCTAGTGGGTTTTATTTTTGTTGTTTGAGATGGGGGTCTCACTATGTAGCCCAGAATGGCCTCAAACTCATGGTGATCCTCCTACCCCAAGCCCCTGCTGGAATTATAGGTATTAACCACCAAACTCAGCTAGTTTTAGTTTTTGAGGAATCTCCATCTCTGCTGTGGCCCTAACCTATTTCACTGCAAGCCAGAGAATTCTGGTGAGACCAGTTCCTAGCAACCCTGCAGCACACTGCTTGCCTGAGAATAGGAAAGTACATGTCTATCTGCACAAACTCAGACGACAAACAGCACCACAAAACAGGAGGAAGAGAAGACGACAAAAGTCAGGCCACAGAGAGATTTTGCAAGAACAACTATGGCAGTCCCTCTCTGCCACACAACCAGAACTAGAAGAAGACCATGGGCCAAGAAGCATGGCTTCCATGTCTGGCCTCCTCGTGGATGGTTCCCTGTGTCCAGCCTCTCTGTAAAGAGGACATGTATTGGGCTGGGGGAAGCTCAAACTGCAGTAAGAGGGGCATATGGCCATGTCTGCAGTACAAAAGGGAGGACACACTTTCCTGCATGGGCACAAAATGTGTGAGGACCAACTTGGGCTGGGAAGGAGGGCTCGGTGGGACTGTAGGGCTGAGGGAAGATTAAAGACCTTGCTAAGAAAGTGAGAGGTCACACTCCAGAAACAGCTCCAGCTCTGTCCCCAGTCAGTGGTTTTCACTCTAGATCTGCCCCATGTAGCCCTGGTACTGCTTGCTACTGACACCTTCAGATCCACAGGACTCATATTCACAGGTGGTTGTGGCAGACACCTCAGGGAGGAAGCTCAGCCACAACCCTAGGCTGGGAGAATGGCAGGCCTAGAATTAGTGGGATAGTGCAAAAAGGCCACTTAAAGATCATTTCATTAAAAGAGCTCTACATAGAACTGAAATAGTTTGCAAACATTTCTCAGAAACATGAAAACACATTTATAGATGAAAATCCAAACTTTTATGTAGCAAGTTGTTTTAGACAACATAGTAATGTTATGATATTTTATTCGGAAAACTGGTTAAGACTTTTTAAGGCGACAATAATACTTTCCTAAATCTTATTAAAATATTTTAAAATTGTTACAGTTCTGCAATTCATCTGTCCAAATGATCAGACTTAACACAAAACAAGACTCCAATAGAGGGATCAGAATTACATTTTGAAAAGACTGAAGACACATTTTAAAAATAAAACACAGAAATCAGTTAAGGGCACCTGAAGTCACTGCTCTGAAAACACAGCACTATTTAATGATACTGGCCACAAGTCCAGCTGCTGGAGGGAACATCAGCCTTAAGAAATTTCTCTAAATCACACGTCACCTCCAACCTTACCTTCCATGGTCAGTGTTAACTGGATGCAAAAATGAAATTACAGGGACCATAGTACTTTGTAGGACTTATGATTAAAACTCTAGGAAAAAAAAATTGGGGCCAGGGAGATAACTCAGTAGAATAAGTGCCTGCCTGGCAAGTGCAAAGTCCCAGGTTCAATCCTCAGTACTGCAAAAAACAAAACAACAGACCTCTTAGGACACTGGAAAGAGGGAAATGACCTCCCTTTAAAGCATGTCTGTGAAATGCCACAACCCGTGCCAAACACCAAGATGAGGTTCTGGAAGCTCCCCAAAATCAATAATTAGGCTCTCAATAGGCTTGCTCATCTAGAGGCCAACCAGGGGTACAGAAAAGAGAAGCAGGAATGCCCCTTTGTGCAGAAAACTGTACTGTCCTCTAGAAAGCGCAAAAAGCCCACAAGATTAAACGTCAAGTTCAGCAAGAATGCAAATACAAAATTAAAAACTATGTTAATAACCTTCCTAAAAAAGGCTGGGGAGGGGGGTGAAACTGCAAGTATATATACATGACCGCTGAGGTGATTGTACTAAAAATTACCATCTGTTTCTTGAAAATAGCAATTATGTGTAGAATTTTCACCTTGACTAACTCTGTATGCTGATATCTGCAACCTGAGCAACTACATTGAAGATAGCAATGTGTAATACAAAAATCATGCTTGACTACTTGTCATCTTGGTCTCCTAAGTGTGTGCCATTTCTAATGTCATATTAATTATTACTATACTCTCTTCAAAATAAACTTTAAAAAAGACAAAAAAACTCAAGAGGGACAAAAACAAAAATTTATGGTTTCTGAAAAACACACAATAATATGCAATCATATGTCCAATCTTACATAACTATATCTATTAATCTGAGCAACATATTTGATGATAAAAATAGATAATAAATCAATCTTTGTTAATCAGCTATCCTTGTTCTGAAATTTGCAACACATGTATTGTTGTATGTTACCCAGTTCCTGTCACTGTTTCTGATTTTTGTTCTTGCTTTTGTCTTTTACTTTTCAAAATGAAATAAAATTTAATTTAAAAATCCTTCCTATATTCCTGTAGAAGCAAAAATTTAAACACATCATTACAGTTATAAAATACACAACACACATAATTTTTCCAGCACTACTAATTTAATGCTGATAACCTCCACATAAAGTTTCACACTGTTATTTCCGTTCTCTCGGGAATTAAAATCTTATTTTGCCACCTCTGTGACTCTAGATTTGAGGTTAATTTGATCTTTTGTGTAGGAATGAACATGTAACATGACAAATCAAAACATCCTGAGTTAAGTCTTATCCTATAAAAGTTAAATGGTAGGTCTTTTCTACTACCTGTTTTTTCTAA